CGTTTACTTGCTAGCCTTCACTGTCAGACACTATTGAGTGACTAACTGGCTTTTTTCTTCTTTGGTAATAACATACATAAAATGAGCTGTAACAGGTATATGAGCATTTGTCTACATTAATAACCCACTACTTGTAATGGCCAAAATTAAACTGATTGAATCTTTGTGCAGCCCAAAATGTACGACCATTCAGCAAAAGGGTCTGAAAACTAAGAGTCGTTATTTTCCCACTTAAAGACACTTTCAAGCCCCCCTTTTTGTTAGCGGAAGTTCTAAATAAGTAAATATTATCTTTCAAATGCCGTTGGAATTTTACCTTTCATTTTTTTGGCCTACAAATGGGACATAGTACCTTTAAAGGAAGAAATAAGAAACAAAAATAAGTGTGCTTTGCTCACCAAGCACTAAAAGTATACAAATCTGGGAACCTGGAAACAACATTCTACATCCCCCATACCAGTTTCATCATAATACATCATAAAGTCTTATATCCTATATATCAGATGGCATAATAATGTTTGTCGAGAAAGAACTAGAAATCAAGATGTTTAGTAATGAATGCACATATAACAGAGTTAGGCAATATCTCTCCTCCGTGAACATCTTGCAATGATTATCCTTTTATTACATATAATTGTGCAATAATCTTGCAACTATTTTCTCAAGAATGACTCTTCGAATGTTATCTTATTTGATGGAGATAATCAATTGTGTAACCTCTTTGATCTTTGAGCCACTTTGCTCCTACTTGAGGGAGGATTTAATCCTGATTAGCAACATGTAATGGAATATAACGGTTGTGGAATCAGTAACCAGGTTTTGATCATTTCCATTTATACAGTACATCATATTGGTCCAAAGGTGAATATCCAATGGATAACTTAGACCCCGTTCTCATTCACTTCGTTGGAGCGGTCTAAGACCCGTTCCTCAGGATCAGTTCTTAGGTGAGTGAGAACGGTCAAAGTGGTCCAGGAAGTGGACTTCTGGACTGCTCCAGAAGACCACCTCGGGAGGTGGTCTTGAGGAACTGGTCTTATTAAGAGCGGTTTGGACCGCTCTAACGTGCAATGTGAGCGGAAGCGTACTTTGACCGGAAGTGAGCTAGTGACGTTCCGTGCGAAACATGTAGTACGGTACATACGGTTTGTATTCCGCCGCGAAAAAATTGACCTGCTGACCTGAGCTGCCATAGCAACAAGACCACTCGTGGATTGGTTTGAGCCATAAAAAACTGCTCGGAGTGTGAACGCTCGCAAACCGTTCCTCAAGACCCGTTCCTCTGGAGCGGTCTAACTAAGACCACCTTCAAAGTGAGTGAGAACGGGGTCTTACAGTTACTAGGAAAAAAAGACAAAAGTTAGGTAATAGTTTTTTGACAGTCATGAATATCTGACATAAGGCCATTACAAGAAATATCTGATCCGAAGGACTGTACTTAAAATTAAGACAAATTGGAACAATGAGAATATGGTGTACTTTTGACCACAGGCCGACTCGCTCACTAGAGATATATACATACATACTTAAGAAATTTTAAATTTCTCACATAAACTGTCGTTCAATGAAAAGTACCTATTGAAATTTATCTTTGGTCAGACAGCCCCATTTTGTGAATATACTACAGAGGCATCGACTCGCTTCTCATTATCGATGGTATTGGAAGCTTGAATGAAAGTAGTTTGTTATGTCATATGTCATACAGGATATAACACGGCTCATTAGGGCATTGTACTTTAATACCTGAGCTAGACATAAATGCAAAACATATTTGGTGAAAATGATTTTACAGCTGTATCCGTCTTCTGGTATCCTTCAAAGGAAATAGATGGTACAGGTGAAATATTCCAGATTGTACGACAAAACATGCAGGAATTTGACCTATCGATTTGATGAACATATTGTCGAACTGTACTGTACAGTTGCAATCACTTGTAATTACTTCATCAGGTAAATGAAACAATAGAAACAATTAGCACAGGTGTTTGTTCTGTGTACAGGTAAAATACTTGCTGATTCTGTATATCGAGCATCACATCATATTATGATGTCATATTTTGTGAGTAATTAAAAAACATATGTATTGTTACGCATGTAATATCAATTTGGAAAGTACAACCATCCCAAGTTTTGTGACTACATGTAATTCATTTGACATTTTGACCTCAATTCATCCTTTTCATGTATAGTATACAAACTTGAATGAAGGTACATATACATGACAAGTTCACTGTACTTTTGCACCGCCTTTGCTTTTCAATGAAACATGACAGTTGAGAAACAAAACCAAAATATAATAACCTGAATATATTTCCTCTCTTTGTTCAATTGCAATAATTACAATATCTGGCGCTAATTCAAGGTGTGCTAGCTTTTAAGAGATTTCAAGTAGTTTGAGAGTCATTGTACTTTTGGGAGGAGTTTTAAATGAATGTGTGCTTTAGGATTATATGGTAGGATCATGATGTATTGTTTTAGTTTTAAAAAACACACAACCTTTTGTAGAGGTATTCTGCAACATCATGTAGAGAAGTGTTTTGGGTTGTTTTATGTAATACAAAATTATTTGTATGGGTTATTGAGTACAATTTATTTATAATTTTGAAATTTCTTTGCTTTATGTTTTGATGCGACTTGAGTCAGTCAGATGAAAAGTGTTTTTTTACCTATTCAGTGCTCTGAAGGAGCCTTAGATGAATGAGACACAGAACAAATGGGTTGATAAGAGAAATGTAGGGCTGCAGAAGTTCTTTTTCAAGACTATACCGGTATGTCTTATGCTTTTCTGAGGACCAGAAAGGTGTTCTTTTAGTTTACATTGGTTTGTGTAATATAATGATGTAAACTGAATAATTAGAATATCCAGTTTACATTATTTTGTGTAATATAATAATGTAAGCTGAAAAACCTAAATACCCAGTTTACATTAGTTTATGTAATATAATAATGTAAACTGAATAATCAAATAACCAGTTTACATTATTTTGTGTAATATAATGATGTAAACTGAATAATTAGAATACCCAGTTTACATTATTTTGTGTAATATAATGATGTAAACTGAATAATTAGAATACCCAGTTTACATTATTTTGTGTAATATAATGATGTAAACTGAATAATTAGAATATCCAGTTTACATTATTTTGTGTAATATAATGATGTAAACTGAATAATTAGAATATCCAGTTTACATTATTTTGTGTAATATAATGATGTATACTGAATAATTAGAATATCCAGTTTACATTATTTTGTGTAATATAATGATGTAAACTGAATAATTAGAATATCCAGTTTACATTATTTTGTGTAATATAATGATGTAAACTGAATAATCAAATAACCAGTTTACATTAGTTTATGTAATATAACAATGTAAACTGAATAATTAGAATATCCAGTTTACATTAGTTTATGTAATATAGTAATGTAAACTGAATAATCAAATAACCAGTTAACATTAGTTTATGTAATAAAACAATGTAAACTGAATAATTAGAATATCCAGTTTACATTATTTTGTGTAATATAATGATGTAAACTGAATAGTTAGAATATCCAGTTTACATTATTTTGTGTAATATAATGATGTAAACTGAATAATTAGAATATCCAGTTTACATTATTTTGTGTAATATAATGATGTAAACTGAATAATTAGAATATCCAGTTTACATTATTTTGTGTAATATAATGATGTAAACTGAATAATCAAATAACCAGTTTACATTAGTTTATGTAATATAACAATGTAAACTGAATAATTAGAATATCCAGTTTACATTAGTTTATGTAATATAGTAATGTAAACTGAATAATCAAATAACCAGTTTACATTAGTTTATGTAATAAAACAATGTAAACTGAATAATTAGAATATCCAGTTTACATTATTTTGTGTAATATAATGATGTAAACTGAATAATTAGAATATCCAGTTTACATTATTTTGTGTAATATAATGATGTAAACTGAATAATTAGAATATCCAGTTTACATTATTTTGTGTAATATAATGATGTAAACTGAATAATCAAATAACCAGTTTACATTAGTTTATGTAATATAACAATGTAAACTGAATAATTAGAATATCCAGTTTACATTAGTTTATGTAATATAGTAATGTAAACTGAATAATCAGATAACCAGTTTACATTAGTTTATGTAATATAATAATGTAAACTGAATAATTAGAATATTCAGTTTACATTAGTTTATGTAATATAGTAATGTAAACTGAATAACCAAATAACCAGTTTACATTAGTTTATGTAATATAATATTGAAACTGAATAATCAAATAACCAGTTTACATTGGTTTATGTAATATAATAATGTAAACTGAATAATTATTTGGATCATCTAAAGGGGCCATTTGCATTTAACAATGGAGCTGGTGTCTTCTCATCAATTGCACCTCATTTGTGGAACTCATTCTCTTCCTCTCTTTGTGAGATAGACAATCTAGAACACTTCAAATCATGCATGCTTCAAAGCTTTCTATTTTTAGCACATGGGAAAATATTTGCTTCATTGGAGAAGCCTGCACCTGAGATCTTTTTAAAAACAGGAATAAGGTACCATAGAAATGCTGTGATCATCATCATCATCATTATCATCGTCACCATCTTCAGGTTTAACACAGAGTTAACTCCCTTGTGGCTCCAACAGACGATATGCTTACAAATACCTGATGAATTGCTTCAATCATTGGTTTGTTGGTTTGTTGTGTTTTACCTGACTGCTAAGAAAGCATGTGTATGCTTGTATGTAAGCAAACAGGGGACCGACGGCAATAAGTCCACTACGAGGGACTGGGTAATGAGGATTGATGCCTTACCAAAGGCATCGACTTAGTTTCGAACCTGGGACCTTATGGTTACAAGACCACTGCTCTATACCACTGAGCCATCGGGCCTCTATTCATCAGTCTCATTTTGTAGTGTTGATATATATGTAGGAAATAATTGTTCTTGTTTTTTTCTCCATTGCAGGAACCGTGCTAACAAGAGGCAAGTGAGATCTCTTGTGAAGGAGTTCAGCTTGATCTGTCGAGGGTTACATGGAACTGATTATGCAGAGTACTGATGTCATCCATCACTCGTTGTATGCATCTCTCTTGCCACTGAGTTTCACTACGAAGGACACAAGGTATAATGTCTCTTCTGCACTTCTTACAACGCTTGATGATAGTAGTCTGTAATGGCTTGCGATACTTTCAATGTTTTTCAGTGGATCACTAGCCAAGGTTTATTTCTAATAATGTTACATGTTATTTTTGAAGTAGTGCGCAGATGTATGGGGCTATTCGAACAGTAACACATATGCATTTCCCCTCCAACTTCAATCTAACTTGAGAACGAAAATTAACACTGCTTCATCATGCCATGACTCACTTTATAAGCAATTGTCGTAAACTCGTCTGAAGGCTTGTTCAGACACGATGCAGTAAACTACCGCAAAAAAGCTGCCATGGTTTTGTAAGGATAAAATGAATGGCAACTGTGCGCACTAAAGGACATGTGCGTATTTATCGAGCTCTGTGTTATAACATATGGAAATGTGAAGCATATAACACTTTAACACCATCTTTAAAAAAAGAGCTGTTTTGACGTTTCATATCTGAACGAGCCTTCAGCATCATTATTTATATGCCATTGTTAGGTTATGTGACAGGCCAAAACTAAATATGTGAAATTAAAAGTTTTAAAATTATATCACGTGTGGGAAAATCTTTCTATTCAAGATCTGTCAAAATGTCCCTCTTTCATCTGTGACATATATTATATGAGTATATTTACTAGGTGTATAAGAACCATTGTGCAATTGTTTGGTTAATGAATATCTATATTTATTCACTTCAAAATGGAACTGTATTTGGAGAGGCTGAAGTGAACTTTGATCAAGTAAAGTCAAGTTCATATTGAACATTTTCTTTTTTCATGCCGATGATTCATTAAAATATTACAAAGCATTGCTGCTTTCTGTTTCTAGCAAGCCTGTCCAAACTAGGACTAGGTTCAGAAATTTAAAAAACGATCATGTTCCTGACAGAATTCCTCAAATGGATGGACAATGAAGGTACTTTTCAAGATAAACTCTTTCCCAAGTATTTATCATTCTTTGACTACAACTATGCAATCAATTTTAGTCTGTATATCATCTATATTGTTAACAATAGTTGTATTAATGCTTCAAAATCGAACTAAATATTTTAGAAATTTGACATACATGTAGTTGTATCCGTGCCCTACTGCCAGGCACTGGACAAACATAGAAACATGTAGAAATGCAATACCTGTGTAATAGGTACCGGTACATATTTGAAATACCCTTTAAAAATACAAAACAATAGAAAATGATAAGGCAAGTTATAAATCCTGTTTGCTGTGTGAGTCAAAGCTATGTGAAAATTAATAACTAATTTATTTTTGCACTCGTGAAATGTTGTTATGCCTCCATCACCAAATGTGATTCAAGAGTATTGTAACTGATTTAAATCACAACATGAAATATGTTGAGAGAATGTGAATTATCTAGTAGAATCATGAAATACATTTACCTGTAATTTTCTAGTTTATGAATTTTTTACAATTTTTAAATAATAAAGCTGTATGTTTATCGAAATCTGTTAGGGATATTGTAGATGTTTCTGTTTTTATTGTTACTTTGCAATAACTTGACAAGTGTAAACTGAAGATGATAGTGAAATGAACATGATTAGTCCCTAATATTGGACTAAAAATGCTACTTTGCTATTGATGATTTTTAATTTATTATAAATGGAATATTATAGTATAGCATGTTCTTCTTGGAGCTCTTCATACTGTCTTCTAGGGTTCCTGTGGTTAAGTGCTTGATACTAGTGATTTTCAATCAGTAGGCCATGGTTGTGAACTATGCATTGTTCAAATGTTGGTTCAGAAATTGCTCTACATAAAGGGAATAATGTTTCTGAACAATGTTGAGAAGTTTTATTCCTAACTCATCTAATGCTTTCGACTAATTTAGGATAAAAAGTGATCTAATTGAGTAAAAAAAAAATTATGAGTGAGGCAAACAAATCTTACATTAATGAGATTGGTGTTTAAGCCTTGAGACAAAATATTTCATCCGCAGTTGTCAGCTGAGGTGTATAAATTCTACTCTTAGCAGGTATTATATAGCCTTAAGTCCATGCAAAAACCGAAACCAGGGTATCGATTTCCAGAGTGCATGGGACATTGTACGATATGCATCAAAATAGAATCTTATCTCTAACATTTAGAAGGCTTGTTCAGATAAGGCGTGGTAAACCCCCAAAACAACAACCCCAAAACGCCACATTTCAATATTTTTTGTTAACGTTAAATGAATGACAACTGTGCACGACAAATGACTTGCATGTCTTCACTGAGCTCTGTGTTATAAGATACAGCAATGTGAAGCATATAACACTTTACCTTATCATTAAAAAACATTGCAGTTTTGCCGTGTCGTATCTGGACGAGAATGTAGTCATGTAAATAACTTTGTAATATATAATTTTTAAATGTTTGTAAAAAAAAAATGAATCCTTTGCTTGAACCCTTGTACAGTGTTCTGAACCTCCATTCATTATGAAAATACAAGAATAAATAAGCTACACCCATGAATTTTGTTCTCACTTTTTTGTGGGGGGGGGGGGGGGGGGGGGGGGGGTAGGTTGCAACTACCAGGTAAAAAAGGATATACTCTTAATGTATTTGTATTTCATATGTTGAAGACTGTTGTACATAACAAATATTTATCTGGTACTTTTCTCTGTAAATTCTATATATGGGTATCACAATCAATTAAAATAAAAGAATGGGAGAATTGAATCTTGACTCCTAAACGTCAGTATGACAGACTTTGTAATGATATCATCTATTGAGGGGCTTTATGTACCACAGTCTATCATGAAAGAAACCCTGCCAACTTTAATAAAGCAAGCAAGTATAGATGAACACTATGTTCTTTATCGTGATAAACGCTTAGGTTGTACAGAGGAATGTAAGCATCTTTTTGTATCTTTTGTAATATGCAGAATGTTTTATATTCTGAATGTCGAAAACAAATTAAAGACAATTATCATTAAATTTAAAGCTTGTCATAGATTGTTTATTTGATGGCCTTGGTAAGAATCTTTCAGTGATGTAGTAGAAGTAGTAGAAGCAGTAGTAGTATGAATAGTTACAATAATTTTGTTTACACAGGGCATCACAGTTGTTCTTTTTGTGGGCCCTGCAATAATTATTACTCCAGTAATCGCTCTGTACCCATTTACACCTTGGTTTATCGTGGGAAATTTGGATTTCATTTGTTCCCCATATAGTATATAATAATAATATACAGAAATACAAGAAATCGTTTTGAAAATTATTTCTTGTATTTTCTCGAACTCCGAGCAGAAATCTAAATTATTTAGTGAAAAAAATGAGTCATTAAATAGACATGATTAGCAGGCCATTTTCATGTCCTGTTAACGATTAAAAAATGTAATTACTGTCCTCTACATATGTTTGCAGACAGATGAAACTTATTGGTCTCCCAAGAAACAATAGGTTTATTAATTAGTCATTAATTTAATTAGTTATATTGTTCTGAATTAAGGGTTAGAGTTAGGGTAATATACCAGTTTGTATGATGTCCTGTTAATGTATCAATAAGGCTTATATAAAGATGCCCTGTTAATACAACATGTAAGGTTAAACAAATATAACACACACACACACAAACACAAACACATACATATGAATATATCTTTAAAAAGCGAGCCTATTCATTAACCACACAGTAACAAGCAAGTCCTTTATGCATGGTTCATATGCAAATTATCAATAGGAAAAAAAGTTTATCGAACCCATGATGTTGGTATGTAATGCGGAAATTCTTGCCTAGAAACAGAAATGGTGTTGGTTTATAAATCACAACAGGAAACCATGCACGGTGAAAATGACTAGAAAGGGTTCCATAAACGTTGGTATAGCAACTCAGAAGTTTATGTTGGGTAGAGAAAAAAACATTTAACAAAAAACAGTGCATTTGCTAACCTAGTTTAAATTATACAAGCATTATAAAACGATGATAATAATCGGGTCTTATTTTATCCAGGTTAGACTTTTCCTTCAGGCCCTGCCATAGTTATTACCCTGAACCCAGCCATTACCAGGTACCCATTTACACCAGAGTGGAGAGTGGCAAATGTAGTTTTATGTCGAAGGACGTGCTGGGCTGGGATTGGGACCCTCAACCCTTGGCTTGAGAGTCAAGTGAATGAACCACTATACCACGGCACCTCCATGATTTCTCTTGTTATACAGTGCAAGCCTATGGCGATATTAGAATATTGGGGGTATACCTGATGAGCACTTCAGAGGAAAGTGAAAATAGAGGAGATAAAAGACTTACTGGTCGAACAGTCAAAGTTTTAATGGCCTCAAGCTGTGAAAAGATCTGTATTCTGTACAACGCTATATGATACTGAAAGGCTCTCTATAAGGCTCTCTGAAAGGTTCCTTGATCTGCAAGCCTCTTATCTTGAAGGCCTATCACAGTGAACTTGACTGTTTATGATTACGTAACCGCTATCGACTTTGTAAACAATTTGGGAACGCTCTTTGTTAGTCCATGTAATTGTTGTGATTCCAATATAGGAGGAATCGAGCGCTGGAAATGAAGGACAAAAATTACAATGAAAAAAGATGCCATATTCTAGTGAGCACATCTTAGTGGGCAATAAGGGTCGATCGCCCCCCCCCCCCCAAAAAAAAAAAAAACAATCACACCCATCGTAATACATGTACAATGAAATATCAATTTATTTCACCCTTGAAAATAAGGCCAATACATGCAGCAATACAAAAGTATATAAATCTTACTAGAAAATGCATATACATGTATATAAAATGAGATTCCAAATAGATATTAATATACAGTAAAAACAAAAATCTGCTATGTCAAACAAAATGGAGGGTTAAACCAGGGACCTACTCCATAGTTAAACAATATTTTAAATCATTGCCACTATATTAGTGGACACATGATATTAACGATTTCGTGTATTCGTTGGCAAATTCAGAGTGGAGTTTAAAGCTCCGATTTTGAGTTAATATTCATTGGTAATAATTGTCACCATAACCATCATCCAACTCTTTAGAAAAGGGCCGGTGGACTAAAAAGGGCAGGTGGACTAAATAGGCCGTTTGGTAGAGACAAAGCGTTGAGGGAAAAAGAAAAGGAAAATGAGAAGTAGAAGAGATGGAAAGGGGTCTCAAGAAACAGTGTTTCGTATGGTATTCTGTCATGGAATTATTTCAATCGAGAAGAGAGAGGGAGAGAGATTCACATACACACTCACCCCCCCCCCCACACACACAACGACACATACATTTGTTTTTAAATTAATTTTGTTTTATTTCTCCGATTGTGTAATACAAACATACAATTGAATAAAATAAATAAACGTTTTCAATATTGATTGCTTATACATAAACATAATTTAAAAAAACCTCATGCAGTATATATAACTGAGCAAAAATTGAAAGTAAACTTAAAGTACATAAACATAATTTATAAGTCATTTATTGTACATATTATTATTCACTTATTTATATATATATATTTTGTAAACTGCAGGTTATTTTTTACACACACGCACACACAAACACACACAAACAACGCATACGCACACTCTCACACATTCTCTCACACACACGCACACACTCACACACACAAACAGAGAGGGAGAGGCAGAGATAGAGAGAGACACACACAGACGGACAGAGAGTGGGGTTGGAGGGCGGTGGAATGGGTTGGGATGCCGAGAGTGACAAGAGACAGTGGAAATGACATTCTAAATTAACGAGTGATAATTACATCATTATTTTGGTCATTCGTTAAATGAAGTGGAAATTAGAGAGGGAGAGAAAGGGAGATTTTGAATGATATATGTGAATGACAAGGATTCAGTGTTGAAATAGGTTACGGTGACTCTGGAAGAATCGTTCATTATCACACAAAGAAACGACCTTCTCAAAGATTGTAGAACGAAGTTTGGCGCTCTACATCTCTCTAATTAGACCTTCTTGGTTGTGCAATAACAAATACGTTCTTCAGAGATTTCTCGTGACAAATAAACACGGCAATGAATATTAGTCTCGGGCAGCAGCCACTTCAGGTATGACATTCACAGGAAAAGTAAAAACTTAATTTTAACCATTCAAGCACATTTTGGTCCTCAGTATTTCCTCGTAATTATGATATTATGATTAAAAAAAATATTAATCCTGTTCGACAAAAATTAAGGATATTATTTTACATTTTCCTCGCTGACATATTAATGGAGGTATGTTCATTCCATCTCCCTAGTTTATCTATGTCTTATCTATGTCTTAGCTTTGGTTGGGCAAAAATAATAATAATAATAATAATAAATTATATTTTTATAGCGCATTATACAAAATGTCTCTATGCGCTTTTTATTGTATTATGTAAAAGCTTAATTAATTATCTACTTTTGAATTATCCTGAAACAAAAATTCTGACAAAATCTTAACTAAAGTAGTACGAGAAAAAGGAGCATTACTGCACAAAGAGCCAATAGTTTTAAATTCATAAAACGAGACTGCGAGTAACGACTACTCCACATCCCAACCCAACAGATAGCGACAGAGCGGTTATTGGCTTAAAAAGTTCGAGCTAATTTGCATACAACGGCAACAACCCTCCAATAGGACATGGCTGAATGAACGGGAGTCTTATTACCCATTCACCGCAGCGAATCGCGAATCTTGATAGACTTATCAGCTGGTATTCATGTGAGCATGCGCACTACAACCAACCCCAATCTGCGTATCGAGAAACCAGAGATAAGAAATTGTATATAAGGAAGGATTCATCTGGTAATAAACATAACCCATCCATTTTCACCAGTAGAACCGAGGAATACCTTCCACCATGAAGGCAGTCTTTTTCTTACTGGTTGGCCTTATATTGGCCACAGCAGTTGTTGCAGGTAAGAACAAAGTTTGCTTCGTTATATTTCACCAAACTATGAAACATGTATTTTTCTCTTCAGCTTGCTTGGATTTTTAAACTTGGTGTTGGTTATACTCGACGGCAGAGTTAGAATGTACAACGCTGACCTGGAAACAAAATGTATATAAATTATAATGTCACTTTCGAGTTAATGCGATCAGCTGTTTTAGCTCGGTTGGTGGTGGTGTTTGATGAATGGTGATGGTGTTGGTGTTTGTGTATATGCAATATATCTGTATTCATTGTGTTCACTGATCCTTTGGATTGTCAATGATTATTGTAATTTTTTATTTCATAATTTATCTTTAAAATGTAATGATTACGTATATTGTAGCAAATGTAGTCACCGATCTCTGTTCACTTGTACTAGTTATGTTTTTGTGTTTAAATATGCACGTAGTTTTCGGGATATACCAGCTACGTTATTACTATTGGTATATATTTGTGGGGGTACTTGTTACATTTTGTACTTAACTTAAACGAAATGACTCTTTCCGCTGCCTTTGGATAAGATGAAGTGGACTATAAATTAACTTGTTGATATGATAGCATTGACTTGGTATTGTTCTAGATTGTTTGGGAGTAGTATCCGATAGAGTATGAGAACACATTAATTATTTAACGTGCATCAGCCATCAAGCAAGCCTAATAGTAATAGAAACAGATCTTCCTTTTTTTCTTCTCAATTATTGGCAAAGGTGTCTTGAAAAAATGATTCCACCCATGAAATGATGAAGAGGAAGAAAAAAAAAAGAGGAAATAAACATTTATGGATAATAAAGATAGTGAAACCTCAATTAAGTAGTATCAGTTAGTATAAGAACACATCAAATCGCATTTAATAAGATCCTTTTCCAAAGCATCTTGCCAAAATGACTCTGTTTATGAATATAATTGTTCATGCGTGCATGTAATGAAAAGTAAGAAAGTACGGGGAGGGTAGGAATAGAGCGAGAGATAAGGGCCAGGATGAGGAGGGGATACGTATAGTTGGGAGCGCGAAAACAGCCCCTTCCTGATTAAACATAATGTGTTGTTAATTAGCCATGCTTCTTCGGCTCCATTGTGAGATGAAGCGAAAGATTGGCCTGTCTATAATCGTGTTTCGCTTTTGTTTTCATCAGTAAACACGCTGTAATATCCATCCCACATCCCGCCCACACCCCTGGACCATGCGGTCAAGTACTGCTGTGTGCATTGTATGTAAATGAGTTTCTTTGTGGGGGCGGTCCTTATCACGCAGCAGCGCGCCGTTTTTTTTTTAATGGGTGTTTGTGTACACTAGCTACCCGATGCTATCCCATTCAAGAATAGCAGTCAGTTGACTTGTTGTTATGTCATTCCTCAAGATGACTTTCACAAAGACATTGGAAGCAGAGGACATCCAGGATGAAATCTGTTCTTGTGCTGTAGGAGTCAATTTTCTATATTAAACTAATTGTTAACTTAAATCATGGACCAGAACTATACACCCTAACTTTTAAACCTAACCTTAAACCCTAACCATCTGTCTTCGTCGAAATAAAGCATGGTTGGGGTAGTTTGTCAAATCATTTTGGGGAGGCGACCCATATTCTCATCGGACATGCGACTTGTACTTTTCTTTTTTTAAAGGATTTAACGGCTTTTAAAGTTTCAACTCTCAAAACGTACTGTACTTTAAATATTTTATAAGCGAGAATTAAAGCGAATTATTTGGATGCCTATTTTAGATATTTGCTTCTGTAACAAAGTTTACTAAATACTTATATCGCCATATATTTGCCCACCTACATTAAAGAAAATGGATCCAGCATTTAAAGTTGTTTTTGAAAGACTGTGAGATATTTATTGCTACACCAAAGCCTATGATAGGTTTAAAGTATTTTCATCGGCTCAACCAATTGAAAGTCTGCTATACATTAAAGTTAATCCTGGTTTAACTAACGGATTTATGCATGGAGCTCAATGTACGTTTCGATACAGCTCTCTCTTTTGTACGAAATCTTGTGACTCTGCTACAATATGAATGAATGGAATTAATTAAGACATGAAACGAAAACTGAAAAGTGATTTAATGGTGGTATCATTTTCATTTGTTAATTTTTTAAAGACATATTTTAAAGAGATAAATGGATTTACACTCAGTGCTCCAGAATTCAGTGGGATGTGCTCTTATAAATGCATGATCAAATCCCGGCTATTATGCTCTCCTGTATTTTACGTAAATGGGACTTAAATAATGGTGTGATATTTATTTGGTGGCACAACCATAGAAATTTAAGGCTATGAATATGTATCAACGATACAGGTTTGTAAATGATTTTTTTTTACAGAACTGCACTTATGTCTGAAATGTAAGACAACGATTTGACCGACAACATTCCATTATATTACTGTAGTGTATAACATATTCATTTCACATCACCAGCACACCGAACGCATTTATCAGTTCCTTTATTGCAAACTTCGTTTTTGTTTTCTTTCTATAGGTCCTCTTTTCGGATCTCAAGCATCTGTAGACGAAGTAAACGAATGCTCTGGTAAGTATTCTAACTTATAATCATTGATGTATTTGTGTAATGAAGATACATTTGCATATACTCCTATTTCGTTGATCACAGCAGGAATTTAGTAGGGCAGTACAGTTTATTGATGTCCTTCAAACAAATAGATCCATCGTCACTTCTCTGGGTTTGTTTAGAACTCGTTTATTATAAGTCATAAATTATTAATAAATATTGGGGGTAATTAACCATACATTTAACTGTTAAAATAAAATAAAAAGGGTGGACATGAAAGAACGGAACTGTTGTTAAAATCCAACTATTTAATATTGATCCATTTCAGAGCTAACACGCTTCAAGGAAGGTTATAGCTATACCTTCAAATATGAGGCAGAAACAGAGAGTGGAATAAAAGGCGCTGGACCCGGATCGAATATGACCATGACATGTGACATCATAATAGAAGCACCCGAAAGATGCAGGAACGTCCTCAAGGCTAGAGGGTGTCTTCTTGAAAACCGCGACCTGGATGAGGAGATGAGTGCTCATGATCTTGTCTTCCGCACTGATAAGGGACGTATCATTGAGGTGCTGGCTCATCCCGATGAACCCCTTCACATTCTGAACGCCAAACGTGGTATCCTCAGCATGATTCAGCTTGATCTTGAAGCCGATGATGTTGACCAAATCACTTTGAATGAGGTATCTGTCCATGGCAACTGCAGTAGCGAGATGACTGTTACCAGGCGTGATGACAAGCAGAGGCCACGTAAGCTCCAGGTAGTGACTGAACTGAACAACTGTATGCTCAGGAAACAAGAAGAGAACATGACCAGGTGGCAGAGCTTCAAGGACATGGTCCTCAACATGGTAATTTTGTTTTTGACTTATTAATGATACCCAACAGTTAATATTTGCAGTGATACAATGATAGACAGAATATTACATGTTTGTGAGAATTTTCCTGATCAGCAAAGATCTTCGGAAATGTTGAAATGATAGTGGTTTGTTTTTTGTATCATTATTCTTATTTCCACCTTTTACTCCTCTCTAGACCGTCATGGACAAATTCATCAACTCCTCCAAGACATGCAGCTATGATCTGAAAGGAACTACTGGAGAGTTCAGGGGGATTCAGTGTGAAGAGGTCCACTCTTTCTGGCCAATGAACTTCAACAGTGAGAGTGGTGTTCGCACCTTCATCCAGCAGAGGCTCATCGCACCGCCATTGACAGACTGAACTCCTACAAGGTTGATCCAGCAAGTAAGTTACATAAAATGGAGAATTAATATCTTGTGCATTTTAATTCTAAAAAGGGTTCTATATCTATGTGATATTTCACATGTATTCATGTACATGTATCCACATTAAATTGCAAATTTAGTGTTACAAGAGTAGTTTTTTCCAGTTCCATTTCAGCGCCCTTAATGTTAATAGTAAAAGTTCTTTAAATGTAGGGTGAATACCATTTCCCCATTGAATATAGGACTTGATGAGACAATAATACTTCTAGTACCTCCTACTCCACTTCAATACCCTCAACCCATGGACCTACTAATGCTCAACCAAATGTTGTTTAATATTTTTGATAGACTCCAGGTCAACATGCTTGAGGTATGAGCATGACCCCAAGGAAATTGGTAAGAAGGCTGATGATGTTACCGCTGACCAAGCCATGGATATCCTGAAGGCTCTTGTCAAGAGTTCACGTGAGGAGGTTCAGATGGAGAGTCCTCGACTCTTTGGTAGATGGAGAGCTGCTCTGGAAGGAATGAACAATGAAACCATCCATGAAGTCTTTGATCGTGCTTACAACTGCAGCGCATACTCACAGACCTGCCGTGACAACCCAGACAAGGAAAAAATTGCCAGGTATGTAGTTCCTCCACTCCATTTGTAGGCATGGTATTTGGGTAGAAAGTATTAGAACCTGATGGATTTTGAATCAAGGAATTAAGAAGAATTTTTATACACATTAGGAACATTTACTTGAATAAAATGTGTGAGTATTTATATTATATATTTATATAGAACACTAGAAGTTAACCTCCATTTTATTTCTTCATCCTACAGGGAATACCTTCTTGATGGCCTCCTTCCTTGTACAACCATGGCTTGCTTCAGTGTTAAGAACTATGCCATCGCTAAGGGAGTCGTACCCAAGCCCCTTGCTAGTGCATGGATGGTAACCATGGCCCTTCAGAACTATCCCACCTTGGAGCTGATGAGTGAAATGCTACGTATGGCTCAGTATTCACCATCACAGATTACCATCTTTCCTCTCAGTATCATGGTCCACAACTACTGGATGAACAATGAGGAGATTCACACTGCTGCCACTGTAAGTAACTTCCTAGTAATCAAATAATGTTGCGTTTATGAGGTGCTTTTGTGATACACATATACTGCAATGACTGCTGAATGCCATTGACTGATATCTATTCATTCTCTTGTTTTGCTTGTAGCTCCCTGAACCCATTGTCAAAACCATCAGGTACCTGAAGTCTCTCATTGGTAATGACTGCACTGTATCAGCTGAAAACGAGCGTCTAGCCCTCGTTGCTCTGAAGGTAAAACGAAAAAACTTAAGTGACAATACTACATTTATAACTGTACAGTTGGATCCTTATGCTTGCAATTATACTTAGATTAGGTATATTGCATTTAAGTCAAAATTAGAATTAACAAAAAACTTGGTGTCCAATCTAATTCTATTAGACCCTTAATTTAGACTCACTTTACAATTATTTTGATATGATACTAATATGCTTTCAAGAATGGTCTATACAAAAGATTATACATGTTTGTAACATATTTATTTTCTATTCATACAGGCCATTGGAAACATTGGTGAACCTGTTGAGCGATACGACCAACTGACTTTCATCTTCTCCGAGAGAGTATCTCCTGTCCTGATCAGCTGCACAAAGAACAAGCAGATCCCAAGAGACATCTCCAAGGCTGCCATTCAGTCCATGCGTCGCTTTGTGATGAGTGATCAACTCCGTAGCCAAGTCATTTCTGAGCTCTTCAAGGATACCACACTTGATGTACCACAGAGAATTGCTGCCTACCTCATTACCATGAAGGCTAACCCAAGTGTCTCTGAGCTGACTGACATCTGGAACTTCCTCAAAACCGAGCCCGTTAACCAGATGAAGGCCTTCTGTTACTCTCACATTCAGAATGTTGTTGAGTCAAGCGAACCAACCCTACAAGAGTGAGTGTTATTTTTAAACATTTCATTAAAACAAAAACTGTTTCAGCTAATTGCATACTGCTTTCTGTCTCCATCGACTACTCATCAATTCCAAACAATTTCGAAAACGTGCACCAAGCCAATATCTTTGTAAAATAATGTCCACTTTCTTCCAATTCTGAAGTGTCATGCTTCAAAATACAATTAAATCATGGATAGAAAATTGTAACTATGTTTAAACTGTTTTTGACAGGTTCAAGATGAATTTGAAGATTGCTATGGATGGTGAGGAACTGCCAGAATACCCCAAGGATATCAGAAAATATTCTCGTTTCTTTGAGCTTTCCAAGAACTTAACCGAACCATGGAGGAACAACACTGTTGCTGCCCAATTTGAGAGTGACATCATTTTCAATCCTGAGAGCTACTTGCCTCAAGAGGTCATGTTCCACTATGTCCTGAATGCTCTTGGAAAGAGCATGGATATCTTTGAGGTAAGAACATAATAGAAAAACATCATAAATAGACAAAAGGGGCCTGCATGTTTCTGCATCTCCTGCATCTGCATCTAACATTTTCCAATTTAAAGAGTCGCCTCCTAAAGATTTTCTTAAATAATATTTATCCTCTAGAGTATCTAAGAAGTTTGCAGGAATCAAACAATGATATAATTTTTTTAACATTCTTATCAAGAGTTCTCAGTATGTGTTACTCAATAACATTTTGTCGTGTTTGATTTCCATTTGCAGACCGGCATTGAAATGAAAGGTTTTGAGCCAATCATTGAATCAGTCTTTGGACCTGAGGGATTCTTCCCAGAAGTAAAACTTCAAACCATGTTTGATACCATTGATGAGAAAATCTTGTCTAAAGTTCGAGAGTTTGCTGAAGCTCAGCTTGGAAACTGGGTTACTCCTACATCTGAGCCAGACAATGAGGTCTTCATCAAGAAGGACAAATACGGCAAGAAGATGAAGAGACAGTCATCATTTGGAGAGCCTCAGGTATAATATTTGATTAGTATTGATAACATGAATGATGAATATAATTGTCGTTTACACTTTGTCATTTGCTTGCAAATCATATTCTATGAATCTACGTCAATCTAGGATAATATGTTAGCAAGTGCTTGGAGAATACTTCACAAATATATTGCACGGGTGTTTATAAATAACTATGTTCAACATTAACAAGCTTCAATCTCCCATACTTTCATGATTTCAGGGAGAAATTCATTCATCCCTCTTCAATTGTGATGTGCGTTTTATATGCTTTCAGGTTGTTGATGTTATCCACGAAAATACCATGAACAAGCTCAACCAACTGCACTATCTGGTTGGCATGGAACCATCTGCTACTGATGCTACAGTCTTCCTTCGTCTCTTTGGAAACGAATTTGGTTTCGTTAGTGCCAGTGATGTTCTTGCTCTTATTCCTTACACCATGGGAATTTATGAAGAGCTTTTGAACAAGACAAAACAGGTCAGTTTATATTCGATTGTCATTTCATAATGCACAATAATACTGCTTTTAGAGCGTCTCCAGCAACGTTTCACTTTAATCAAGTTCATTCAAATCGGCATTGACAGTGAAGTATAACTGAAAGAAGTAGTTATCTTCATGATTTGCTGAAATAGTAAGCTTTTCAATTTGTCATGAATGAAAAATTGTCAAATAAATTTTGATCAGCCAAGTATTCATCAAGGATATGTTTGAACATTACAGATTCCACAGCTCCTGTCACAGGGACTCAACCTCAACACAACTCGATCTTTTGTCTTCATGGATAAGAGCTTCATTGTACCAACTGGTATGGGTATGCCCCTTAACTGCAGCATCAATGGTACTGCTGTTGTCAGCCTACGCATGAAGAGTCAGTTCAGCATTAATCTTCCTAAGATCATTGCCGCTGGACATGTTGCTCCAAGGTATGTTCCACATGATAAACATATTTGATTAATCCATTTATTTTTAACTGCTTCGTTTTAATTTTTGCTTAGATATGAAAGAAGAAACTTATTTAATACATATGTATTGTCTTTTACTTTTTGCCTACTTCTAGTGGTGCTGTAGAGGTTCTGGCTACCATGGGCATTGGTCTGCCCACCAAGGTCTTCACTGGTGTTATGGCCAATGCCACTGTCTACCATTCCTCCATGCTGGCAGGCAACATCACCATCGATGGAACTCACCTCAAGATCAACCTCAACAACACTGACCGTCCAATGAATCTTTTCAACTACTCCACAACCTACAACCTCTTGAAGGCTAATGGAGATATTGAATTCATCCCAGGAGTTCTTCAGGATGCTGTCCAAAGTCAGAGGTGTACCAATGTCAGCAAAGTCTTTGGCGTTGATCTGTGTGTTTCATGGGCCTATCCCAATGCAAGCTACGTCGCTGAAGCACCACGTTTCCCATTCAGTGGACCTAACAGTTTCAATCTTACCCTCGTCAACACAGACCAGTAAGTATTGTTTATGGTCATATTTGACATATGCTTAAAATAAGCTAATGCTAAAAATAAACCAAACAAACAACAACACCAACATTATGAGTGATGTCAGCAATGGGATTATTTTTTTTCTTAAATGGCAATAGGTATATTTTCAGTTCAACTGAGGTTAATTTAAGTATATTTGTCTTCAAATTTACATGATGACAAGATGACATGTTATGCACAATTTTATTATTTCAGAGCACTGAAGGCATACACCATCGATGCTCAGTACAAGCAGATCAGGGAAGGCGGTGCACCAGCACCGATGCTATTCAAGTCGATCGGAAAGAGGAACAAGCAAAATGCTCCAGCATTTACCAAGCTTATTGATACAGTCCGTGTCTCTTTCTATGCACCAGGTAATAAAGGCTTTTAAATTATTTATTTTATAAATAGAATTTCACTAGCTTTTACTGCTGACGTACTGATGTCTTAACTGTTTTAACTACTTATAAGAAATAACGGCTGAAAGCAGAAATGATAAACTTAAGAGGCCCAGATTAAATTTCCAAATAGTTTCTTATCAAATTGTTTAACCAGCTTTTTACTTTTTATTTCATGGCTTTTTTAGGAGAGGAACTTACTCGCAACATTACCTCACTTGTGAGTGTTGATCGTCTTCGCAAGACAGCCAAGTGGACATTCACCGTGCCAGAAGTTAAGAACTTCATCATGTTTGCTGGAATCCTGAATGAAACCACAGATTCGTCCTCTTCATACAGGGCCGTCTTCAACGTTTCTGCTGCTGAGAACACAGCATCAGTTGACTTCCTTGTTAGGAACGAGACATCTCTAGCACAGAAGAATCTTACTGCAGTCTTCAATGCATCCATCAACAGTTTGTACTGGGCTGCCGTTGGACAGTTTGTTAATCAGTCAAACAATGGTGATTGGAATGCACATCTCACTGACACATACTATTGGTAAGCTACTTTCGTTTGTATGCCTGCGCCATCAAAGGTGGTGCCATAGGCATTATTTCAAAATTTTCATTAGTTTCTTACGCAGGAAAAAAAAAGTATTAGAATGAAAAAGATTTTTAAAAAAACAGATTTTGTTCTGTAACGTCCTGTAGCTTGAACTCTATATTTGTTTCATACTGAAGATGTTTAGATCTTAATTAATATATCATTTCTTTAAAAAAAAAGACTGATTGTATATAAATATTGTCATATTTGCTCTTCAATTTTTGCAGGGATAATGAGACTCCATTGTACAAGCAGCTTCTCTTCCCCTGGACTGGATATCAGATCAACCATGCTAAATACCAGACCTCAACCATCACTGCTAGGAGAGTCACAAGGGGACCAATGGTAAAGCGTGACCTCAAGATGGCGACCCTTGACTGGGCATTTGACTTCAACACTGTTGAGACCGTTACAGATGAACTGAAAGAGCTTACAGTCCACACACAAATCTCCAATGCCACATGGGTAAGAATCATTCATATCTTACTGCATCTAGTAGGTACCTTGATTTACAGTGTAATAGAGAATTCCCCACCGGTTGGACTAGCAATTTGACGATGCATGGTCTCTCTATTCTTGGCTTATTATATTTGGGAATCACTGTTCAGATACAGGGAACGCTGGTTATTCCTAGGAAATGTTTTACAAAAATACAAGTTTAGGAAGGCTTGGGTGTTAGGTGCTTTGAATGAGAGAGTTTGTTTACACATTAATCATTAGACAGCCTCAGTCTTAAATATAAAGTAACCTGTTTCTTTGCGTCCCAATTTTACTTTCACATGCATATATTGTGTTAATTGTAATATCGCATTTATTTACAGGAATTCCCTCTTCTGGATGTTACCTTGAGGAATGAAACTACAGTGAATGGCTATCGTCTGGAAGGACAGGTTGCACGCAACACTCACCACATCTTTGCTGAATACGATGTAACCAAGGAGCCAAGAGAGACCAACAGTAACTTCAGAATGGGACTCAGGACAGACGTTCTTGTGAATAACCCTGATGTTTCCATGTTCCTCAACTCTCCAGTTCTGCTTAGTAAGTAATAAGAATGCAGTCAATAAAATAAACGTATATCGCAGAGAGAATTGACATGACGCATTCAAATACGATAAAGTATGTAAAAAATAATACAGGTTTGAGTTAAACTAATGCTTAATAAAATCTCCTAACATTCCTTGCTGAATACATGAAGCATTAGAATATATTTTGCTCATTAACATCACCTTCATTTCTTTAGACAAACCTGATTTAAACAATCGTATTGTAATAGTCTTCAACTTTGGCACAAGAGTTATTACTTGTAAAATATTCTCATGAGTCTTTGTTGACTGGTTTATTCTTTCTTACAGAACTTTTTGGCGAGACTGCACTCATTGACGAGCCAGTTGTCATAGATGGTGGTGTCAACTTCAGGTTCCTTGATCAATCATCCCTGACTGAGGAACATCTTATTCAGACCAGTATCTTTGTACCTAACCTAAGGAGCCCCCAGACACACCTGACATACGACTTTGATCTCCGACTTGAGAATGCTACGATCAGCAACCAGATGGACTACTCTCTGGAACTGACAACACCAATCCCTCTGCTTAAGGTAAATATCCTCTGTTCAGAGCCAGAAATGCATTATTTGTGTGTTAAAGTATACTCCAAATACATGATATACAAAGAACTTTTTTATGGATTAATATTATTTTTGTTCAAATTAATATTATTCAAATATCCTTGAAAAGTTTTGGTAAATGTTTAAACAAATGAAATGTCAACAAGCTGTAAGTAAAAGATTGCTTCAGATGACGTCATAAGATGAATTTTTCTTTTCCACCATAGGCCTGAATCTTGATTTTTCCTCTTTTAATCCAATTTCAATACAGATGAACAATGTCAACTTTCTTCATCTTATGATCGATATGGAGTCTGGCACATCCGCATTGGACCATACATACACCCTCTACGACACTCGTTACAGCAAACCTCAAGTTACTGTGTCCAACAGTATTGGTGCAGGATGGAAGAAGCCGTCAGCTAACTGGGTTATGGACATATCAACACCTACAATGGTTTACTTCCAGAACTATACAGCCCTGTACTCCTGTGAGAATGGACTGCAATTCTTCTCTGAAAACAGTCAGGATAGTGTTTCTGATCTCCTCGATTTTACTGAAATCAGTAAGTCATCAGTACCAAATAGTGTCACGTTAATATTAGCAAATTACTTAAATCTTGCCATCATAAATGGACAATGTAAATTTGAAAATGTAACAGCTTGTTTGATATTCAAAAGCGTTTACAACATTTTTCTCAAATATAACTGGGAGTATGTCTCTTCTTCAATTTTCTGAAAAAGGCATGGCAAGATAGTGCTGATATTTAGAGTGGTATTTATGCAATTATTTCCAACAAGAAAGGTTTTGGTATTGTAATTATCAAATATATTTTCTGTTTTCTTCTCACTTTCTACAGGTAACTTGTCTGTAAGGCCTTCTGCTGTGTCCATGTATTGGTCATACCTCCATCAACTATTCTCAACCAATGTTTCAAACAGTTTGGTTGTTGACGGCCCAGTCACTGAGATGAGTCCACGTCTTGTACCCATGATCATGCGGGATATGCTTAACAAGACCTTCAGCAGGGACTTCAGCAGTGTCAAGGATCTGGTTTTGAACAAGTTCATTTTCAATGTTACTTCATCAACCCTCACCTTACGTCAAAGTGCCAACATGTCTAGTCCAGTCATTGCTAACATTTCAGCTTCACATTACATCTTTTTGAGCCAAAGCCTCTTTGACCAGAAGCTGTCGTTTGCTGCTGAACAGAAGCGACTGAACATCTCAGCTGGTCTTAATCACTCTCTGCTTATTGAGGATCGTGAGATCACCCTGAAGACTGAAGGAGATGTAGCAGTAAGGACAGGACTTCGTATGAACACCCTAACATCAGTTAATGTGACCATGTCTAAACCAGATACTCCTTTCGATTTGGCAGCTTTGCACCATACCGAGGTTAATTCTCCTCTCATAAGTTTCAGCACACGCTCTTCATCTAATGGTGACTTCCATGAGGTTTTGAACATGGTGGCAAATCACAACACATCCATGACATCAAGGTTGGGATCTTTCGATGTCATTGGAAACTTCAACATCAATGAAATGTCTGCACCAACCTTTTTCAATGAGATGACAGGTATAATGACATACAAGCTTCAGTCTCCTATGATCAAGTCTTCACTTAACAGCTCAGTAAGTTTTGAAACCTTCCGAAAGCTCTTCAAATTCAACAAGGTCCTTGTCAAGGCTTCCCATGACATCAGGAGCAACATGGTCAATTGGAATGCACAGGGTCAATCTCAGCTGAAGGGCTTTAGCAGCATTTCTCAATTTGATGAGGTCAGTAGTAGCTTAGAAGCTAATCTCCTCAACAAGTTCATCAATGGCAGTCACATCTCTGGCATGGCTCTTCGGGATATGAATGGTCCTCTGGTGTTCAGCCAATTGACATCTCACCTCAGCAATAATATTACTAGCAGGTTTGTCAACAGCACATATGAAACCCAGATGAATCTTGAGAATTCCGATGTATCTTTCACAACTCTAGATGGCTCATCCAACTATGTTCTGTCCTCTCGCCTTGTGAATGTTACAGCCAACAACACACTCTTGATGAATGGATTCCGCCGGGTCTTTGACTTTGACAGTGTCACAGGAAAGCAGATCTGGTTTGTAAAGACAGCTCTTCTGAACGCCACTATGGACAATCTTATTGCCTTCACAGACTTCCAGAATATTTCCTACTTTGATGATATTACTGGACATGTATCTGGCAATATTGAATCTCGCTTTGCCAGGGGAAACACAAACACCACATTGCTTGTACAAAATGTGCGTTCATTTACTCAGGTTGCTAAAGTGGCAGTTGAATCTTTGTCATCTTTCACCAGTCGTCTAATGAACACATCAATGACTGGAGGTATGGACATTACCAATCACAGATCTCTCCTTAACTTTGACTCAATTTCATCAGGTATGAACTTTACATCCAAGATCTTCAATGTTTCCACATCTATCCAGAATGAAGTAAGCTTTAATGGAGTGCGATCATTTGTCAACTTTGATTCCATTGCTCATTCATTTGTCATGTCAACAAACAGTTACTTTGTTGATTCCAGCCTGACAGAAATGATCTCTCTAAAGAACTTTAGGAATGTCAACCAGTTTGACTCGGCATCTGCAGAAGTTATTGCAACTTTCAACACATCCCCACTGAAGACATCCTACCATCAAATGCACAAGGTCCAAGACATGGCAGGTTGGTTCCAGTATCCTCTTGCTGAAACTGTTGTCATTGGAAACCTTACGACATCTAAGCTGAATGTGTCTGGATCTTTTGAAGGTAGAATCATTGATATGACTGCACCATTCACATACACCAGCAGCATTGCCAAGATTGAATATGGAGTGAATAACAGGATGCTCAACATCGCAGGTTTCCATGGAGTTGAAGTTGATAACATGAGAGGTATTTTTGACTTTACAAGAATCAATGGCACTATTTCTCATGAAGTTAATACCCCTGTCACCCATATGGTTGTTGGTGGTCTGCTTGAAATGAAAAACTTCCAGAGGCTCTTTAACTTTGAGCTTATGAACATGACGACCTCCAATATCTTCACCGTTATTCCCCTGACAACAACATCTGTTTCTTACAATGGCGAGCTGGCTCTTCAAGGCTTTGAGAAGATCAACAAATTTGAATCCATTACTGGAATGTCAAGAACTGCTGTTCTCACCAAGTGGACCAACTGGACCATGAACATGGATTCTAGCTTTTCTGGTGTCCGATCTCTCCTGAATTTTGACCGATTGGCAATTTCTGGACAAAATGAATTCACCAGTCCCTTGATCGTAATGACTTCCAACTCTACCAACTTCGTCATCGGTTCAAATGGTTTCTTCCAAGCATCAAATGCCACTACTAACAGCATGTTTGGCATCACATCTCGCATTGCAAAGGTCGACACTGGTGTCATGTGGTCTGTCCGTGATATTGCAGGTCCCCTAACATTTGCAGCAAATGTCTTTTCAACCAACTTCAATGTCAGCACGCCTATCGTCAAGACTGGTTCTGCATTTGATGTTGAAATGGAAAACTGGAAGAATGTCACAACGTTTGGAAAGTATGAAATGTCTGCTGCCAATGACATCATTTCAAGGATTGCACGATGGAATCTTCTTTCACATGTCAGGCTGGACAACATGGCTGGTGTCCTTACATACTCTCGAATGGAGGGCTGTGCATCATCCAACTTTTCAAGCATCATCTCATCCCTGGAAACCAGTATCAATGCCCACATCAACAACCAAGCCGGGCCCCTGAACTATGAAGAATTGGTCATATCTACCGAAGGAAACTTCTCTTCTTGGCCTATCAAGATGCAAGGTGTTACAAATTTCGATGTCCAGAACATGGCAGGTTTCATGAAGTATGACACTATAACTGGTTCTACCTCATCAGTCATGACCAGCAGATTCTTGAATACCACTACTCAATCTAGTCTGGTTGCAAATGCTGGTGCTGGACTCTTCAAGGTCCAACTTGCTAATGTTTCTTCTGCTATCACTATCAACACTCCATTCACAAGGGAAATTAAAGCTTCAAGCTCTGCTCAGGTCACTGATTCCACAAATCTGTTCAAGTTTGGAAATGCAGCTATGAAGGGCGAGTTCTCTTTCCTCACATCAAAGATCAACATGACTGGTAATGCTGACTCAATCCTGACCAACTTTGAAAACATTACAACCTTTGATTCTGCAGAATCATCTGCTGAATTTAATGTAGCCAGCCGATTTGTCAACTCTTCATCAAGAGGTATCATGCAGATGCATGGTTCTGAGAGGCTTTTCCGATTTGCTGATGTCAAGATTGGTGGATTAACTACAATCAAGTCTATCTTGGCAAATCTGACAACAGAGGCAGGAATTGATTTCACAAACTTCCAACGTATCTTCACTTTTGACCGTGTCAACAGTTCAGCTGTTGTTTCCTTCACATCTAGACTAGCAAGCATTGAAGGCAAGACTGGCATGGAGATGAACAACTTCAGAGGACCCATGACCTTTGATCGTGTTAATGGAAGCTTCATAACCAACTTCAACAGTGCACTTGTCAATTCTATGACAGTTGCTGACTACTCTCTTGAGGGATTTGAATCACTTTTCCATTTCTCCCGGGTTGCAGCATCTGCCGAATCTGTCCTAAACAACAAACTGTTTAACTCATCATTTGTAGCAGACTACACACTTACAGACTCTTCATGTTTCTGCAAATTTGAAAAGCTTGTGGCTCATTCTGCTGGATCCCTGACAAGTAGATTTGCTACAGGAAAGGCCCTTGGCATGGTTGAAGTGAAGAATGTACGTAATCTTACCAGCTTTGATCTGTTCAACATGACATCAGAAGCACGCCTCACCAGCAAGCCAATGACCGCTATGACTGAAACCGTTTACTCTATAAAGAACCACTACAGCCTTTTCAACTTTGAACAAGTGACAGGCCGCATGTATGGTAACATCAAGAGCAAATGGCTCAACAGCAGTGCCTTGTTCGAGTCTCAGATGAACAATTCTCGTTCCCTTCTCAGTTTTGACAGTGCAACGAGCCGCATGTACAGTAATGTTATCAGCAGATGGCTAAACAGCAGTGCAGTGTTTGAGTATCAGATGAACAATTCCCGCAACCTTCTCAATTTTGATGCTGCCAAATCCAAAGTGATGCTTACTCTTCTCACACCATTCAATGATGCCCATTTCAGTGGCCAACTGAATTTCATTGACTTCACTAACATTACACACTATGGAGAAATATCTGCAATGGTTGTTGGAAATATTACCTCTCCACTTGTCAGAGCTGCAGGAATCTCTAAGTTCAATATCACAAATATGGCTGGAATCATGTCTTTCGAAAAGGCTCTTATCGATTCATTTGCAAATGTGGAATCCCGCTTTGTCAACAGCACTTTCCAGAACTCAGTTGTGTTCAAAGGTTTCAAGGGTATCGAGTATTCTTACATCGGTCATCGCTTTGTATTCCTCTGGGTTGATCCTATGAATAACCTCGCTGTCAAGAATGGACTAGATCTGACAACATTGAAAGACATGTCCCAGCTCTTCAACATCACCTGGGTCAACCCTAAGGGAACTGTTGTCTTCAATCAGCGCCTCAATTACGAGAATCTGGTAGCTACCATCAAGCTTCCATCTATTGGTCTGATTTCTGCTGGAGCAAATCTCAACACATTTGGGGACAGCTTGACTTTCTACATTGAGCACGAACTATTGGTGAGTTTTAAACCATTTTTCTCATGTAGTGACCACTAGCAGTATATCATATTCAAACTCACATAATGGAAAGAACTTGTGGAAACCAAGTCATCCTACAAGATAAGTCATCATTAAAATTGTAATATACATGTATATAATTTTGTGTAACTTAAAAAGGCAAATTGCGTATAGTATAGGCTTTTTATAGTATTTGTGACATATGAAGGTCAATATATAATCTTTCAAATTACACTCAACGCTGCATGCGTGATTATTGCAAATGACGATTAGTATTTATGAATGCATATTAGTATATTATTGATGAACAGACATAAATGAACATTCTACTTAATATTTATTGCACTTTTATGTTTTCACAGAAGGACAACTTCAAGACGGTCAATGACATCACATGGCTGCTGAAATTGAATGAGAGTAATGTGATCTACAGCAACTTCAGCTGGAACCCTGAGACAGTTGCAGAGATTGTGGACATCACTGTTGGAGCAATCAACAATACCTTCAACCGTACCATCACCATCGCCAACAGCACCATTAACAGGTTCATGGAAGTTGCTAACCGTACCCTCACAAACACAAGGAGGATGACCAACTGCACCAAGTGTTTCATGCGCTACACCATGATGTTGGCTAATGAGACTCTCAGTACCACATTCTCACAGTTCAACCAGACTTTCTTCAACCAGGCTCTGAAACTGAATGAAACTCTTTTCATCCAGCTGAAGAAACTGAACCAGACCTTCTACACCCAGCTTGAGAGCTTGAACCAGACATTCTGCACACAGATGCAGAAACTCAATGAGACCATCACCTTTGCCCGTAACAACCCTCGGGAATTCGTAGGCAGGTATGTCAACTTGACAAAGTTGAATGAAAGAGTAACCAGGCTTAATGCTACACTCAGGGAACTATACACTAAGCTCCGATACAACATCACTCATCCTAGAGAAACCATGGAAAACATCAAGACCCTCATCAAGTATGAAGAGCGCCGTCAACAAATCACATGGGTGTTGGAGAATAGAAATGAAATCAAGACCAGAGCTAAGAATTACCTGGAGGAACTCAAGGCAAACCTAACCAAGAAGGCTGTAGCTGCTGTAGCTGACTTCAAGGAGCTAATCCAGTATGAAGCTAGAGTTGAGATTCTTGTCAACTATATCCAGACCAGATTCAATGTTCCCAAGTTCCAGGAGAAGATTGAAGAATTGAAATTGAAGATTGGCGAGATCAAGGACAGAATGGCTACACTCAAAGTAAACATTGGAGAAAAGATTAATGAGATGAAGATGAACATTGCTTCTCTGGACAAGGAAACAGTCAAGGCAGAAATCAAAGTACAAATCACAAAGATCAAGAACTTTGTCCGCTACTACCTAAACAGCACCACCACCGATGCAATCGCAAGGTCCATCTTCATTGAATACCAAGATGATGCCCAGGTCCAGGAGCTTATGCGTAAGGTCATCCGCATCAGACCACGCAATGTCATTGACATCATCAACAAGACCAGTATAGAGGAAACAAAGGATCTGGCCATAGTTATGAAAGACAACATGATCAACGGTCTTGAAGTGCTGAACCAAACCACTTTCCGTTATGTCAACAAGACATACTTGAATGAGACCATCAAGCAGGCCATTGGAATGCTAAAAGAGTGGAATTCTACCCTCCATGAATACGTCTATGTTGATGTCATCAAGGGAGATCTGAAGCTTGTCTTCAACATCACCAAAGAAAAAGTAGCAAACCTGACCAAGGCTGTAACACTCTTTGTCAAGACAAAGGCTGACCTAATCAAGACAGTTCTGAAGGAACAGTGGGATGCTCGCCCAAGATCACTTGAAGAGCTCAAGGAGCGTCTGATGGCTATGAAGGTTATTGCTGCTGACTACATCAGAGAAAGATACAACATTGATGTTGATCAGATAATTGAAAAGATTGTCAATGAATACATGAAGAGGAAGGAACAATATGACGAAATTATTGTTCGCATGGGCAACGAGTACATGAAGAGGAAGGTACAGCTTGATGAGGTAATTACCCAGATCATCGCTATCTCCAAGAACGAAACTCATCCTGTCAATATGCTTCCACTCTGCTACTTCAACAGGACCATCTATCAAATTGTCCAGCCTCCTGTCAACATGACAATGAATCTTACAGTCCTCTACAGCAAGATGGCAGTCAACCTCACTAAGGTTTACAGCAATGAGGCAGCCATCCTCACAAAGGCATACAGTAAGCAAGTGGCCAATTTCACCAAGGTGTACTCTCGAGTTGCAATCGACAAAGTAATGGCTCTCAGGAAGACGTATACTCCTGTAGTCATGAAGGCAATGAAGAAATACAAAGTGGCTGTACTTGAAAAGAGCAAGATTGCAAAGGAAAGAGCAATCATGTATTACAACATGGCTAAAGGAAATGTTACCTTGTACTATCAGGAGTATGCTCCAATTGTCAATGAGACCATCCGCAACTACACTTGCTATGCCAGGCAAGCTCTCTTCAACTACACTCTGCAGGTTCGCGACATCACTGACAAATACATCAACATGACAATCGAGTTCCTTGAACCTCATGTGCAACCTTATCGTGAAATCATGATGCAGAAGGTTGAAATGATAAAGCTTCGTGCTGCCAACTTGAGAGAACGTGTTCGTCAACTCCCTGCCCAGACCGAGGCTTTCTTGATGGAAACCGCAGAATACCACATCGAAAGATACCCTCAGTACAAGCAAAAAACCATCCAGAAAATTGATGAAATGAAGGTAAAGCTTGAGGAATTGAAAGTCAATCTTACAATGTTCTACAAAGAAGTGAAAGCCAACATGACACGCCTCTATGGAGAACTGAAGGAGAACGCCACAGAGATGTACATCATCTACAGACAGAAAGCTCAGGATATGTACGTGCTTGGAAAAGACAAATTCATCACCTACAAGATCAAGGCTCAGGGTAAATGGCAGACATGGAGGCCAATCATCGTGAGAAAGTCTGGAGAATTCCTGAACGCTACCAAGATGGGTATCAACAAGACAGTTGAAGCCATAATCTTTGCAGCCAAAGATGAATTCTCACTCATCAATGAGCTACCAATGAGGTCAATGGAAAAGACCATCTTTGAACTCAGTGAAGACCTCAATGCGTACATCCGACAACTTGTAGAGAATCTTGTTGAAAATGCAAAGATGAGCATCAAGGACCGAACAAGTCTGCTCAACAAGTATCCTGTGAAATTCCTGAACATGACCGTTGCAGAGGTGAGTTACTGAATATGTGTACCTGTTTGAATAGATAATAGTTGTGTTACAACTTGAAAACTTTGTAAAGTAGAAAAAATGGAAGAGAAGAGAATTTCCTAGAAATGTTTATATTATAAATATTACTAGAACAAAGAAGACAAACTGCTTCAATCAATATAAAATTGTGTATTAAAACTGTAGAAGAAATTAAAAATAATCCTTTAATAAATTTTTCCGATAATCACATGAACTCTCTGAACGATAAAATCACCTTTGATGTAATTGTGCCACTTCATTTTGTTTCTACATGTATACCAATTTTTGTTATGCTCTTTTCTTCAAATATAGGTTGGCAACTTTTCCTATGGAAAGATTCTTGTGGCTTCAAACTTGACCAAATTCTACGCCAGCAAGACGTTGACATGGGCCAACACATCTCTGGTGATGGTAAACAAGAATCTCTATGATCTCTTGAATGTATCCAACACCACCCTCAGAGAGGTTGTTCTTCCAATCCTGAACCAAACTGCCAGGGACCTCATTGTCTTCCTTAACCGCACCCGTTCCCAACCATGGAGGGTTACCATCAACGAGACGATGTGCTTCCTTAACAGGACATCGGTCATTGTGATGAACAAAGCCAACGAGACCCTCATTATTGTCCAAGCCAAAGCCATAGAAGCATGGAAGAATCTAACATCGGAAGAGAGCATTGCCAAAATGAAGATGTACCTTAACAACACCAAAGATCTGATTGTCAGGAGTCTGAAGGTTGCCAATGAAACCATATATATGATCCGCAACAGGAGCATCAATCTGGTCATCTACATCAGGGATGAAACTCGACTTGTCAATCTCTCCAGGGAGTATGCTCTTCTGGCCAGGAACCTGACCAAGAACTCAATCTACCAGGCTAAGAATATGACAGCAAGGACAATCATCTATGCCCGCAACATGACTAACAACATTGTGACCTACATCCAGGGACCTGCCAAAGACTTCACCATGGAATATGTGACATATGTCAACAACACTATGGCAGGTATGACATCAGTATTCCTGGCAAATATACATCTCAAATCCTCATTCTCATTTCAAGTATTACATGTATAGTCTCTTTTTACTTCTTTAGTTGTAAGATTTCAGTTACCTTAAATATTTATACTTTTGATATACTTATCCCTTTAAGTGATGCATTTGCTAATTACATAATCTTTAGTCATGTTTATACACTTACCTGCAGTCAGAAATTTCAGAATGTACCAGTAGTATGTGTATATATCAAAGACCATTTCTTTTTTATCTTTCGCAGGATGGGCCATTCGCTACTACGAAGTGGATCAATTCCCATCGAAGGCCTGTGCTTTAATGGCTGCCATTAAGCCAGTTGAAAGGACCATCAATTTGACCATGATTGCACTCAACCGCACCCGTGTCCTGACTGAAATGGCCTACAACCGCAGTAAAGTCATGACCCGCTATGCTCTGAACCAGACCCTCATCATGACCCAGTATGCCCTTAACCAGACTCGCCTCTTCACTGGCCAGGCCATTAACAATACCAGCATTCTTACTAGGCAGGCTATTAACCGTACCCGCACACTGATCAGGGATACACTCAACTCCATTGGCCGTCTTGATGACCACAGCTTTGCCATGAACATTTCTCATCCATTCAACTGGACTAGCTTCAGGACACTGCCCAAACTGAGCAACAGCCAGATCCAGTTCATCAAGGTATTGTCAATTTTTGGAATGTTCATGATAAGCTTCACTGTTATTGGTCTTATTGTTATTATTTATCTTTTTCATTTTGATTTTACCATGCACCAATACAATGGCAAGAAACAAATACGTTTAAAAAAAAAATTGAACACAAAAATGTTAAAGGAGAAGGAGCAGCAAATGTGTCACGGTGCATGAAAAGTGAGTTGCAACACTGTTGCCCTGAAGCATTTGTCCGCATTTGCTACTTCTTGTACATGATAAAAATATCTATACATTGAATATTGCACATAATTAAAAAAAATATCAAACAGAGATAGAAACGAATGTTTGTCTAATTAAGTTCACATACTCGTATTCAATATCAACCGTGATAAACAATGTATTAACAAGAGTTCCTTGTTCATCTTCTGTCCTTCTTTCTATCCAGGATAAGATGTTACAGCTCAACATCACTCTGCAAGAGATTCGTGTGAACATGACAGAGAGGTATAACAATATCTCCAAGACGATCAATGATTACTATCAACTGAGGAAGCCTTTGATCGATGAAAAGATTGAGCTATTCCAAACTACACTCCAAGAATTCCGAGAGCGACTCGACGAGAAGATCGCTGAGTACAAGGTAATCTTTGATGAATACAAGCAAAAATTCAATGAGAAAAAGGACTTATACCAGCAAAAGTGGGAAACTGAATGGAAGCCTCGCCTCATGGAGAAGAAAGAAGAAATCTTGACCAGATGGCAGGAGGAGATCAAGCCAAAGATCAACGAGATGATCACCAATCTGACAAGATTTGTCAAGGACCCCGAGTTGCTGTCCAATCTGAAACAGATGGCTCTTCATTTCAAGACTGAGACCTTGCCTGAGTTGAAGAGAGTCCTCCTTGAAGAGAAGTACCCAGAGCTGAAGAGAATAATAATGGAAGAAAAATATCCCGAGATCAAGAGGCAAGTCCTGGCCCAGTACGAGATTGCAAAGGTCATCATGGAGGAACTCAAACAAAATGCCACTCACTTCCGAGAGAATGTAATGGCCAAGGTGGAGACTCTGAAGATAAAGGCCAACGAGAAGTGGACTGAACTGCTGGAGAAGATCACAGAGATCAAACAGAACTGGCCAGAAACCTACAAAAAGATCAAGGCTGACATCGAGGACCTCAAGCTTCAACTTGAGACCAAGCTGTCTGAATACATCACCAAAGTCCTTACGGTTCTCCAAGAGCTCCGTATTCCTGTTGAAATGCTTCCACTGGAACACATCAGGATTTACAGCCCCTGGACATGTGAGTATTTTTGTTCAACTGTAGATGATAGTAACTTAAATTAAACAAACCTTTCTAGAAACCAAAAACATTTTCTACCGTACATAATATATTCAAATTTATATACATGTAGGGTCATACAAGGGAGGAGATAATAAAAAAAAATCTGCCTGCTAGGACATTTTTGGCTTTTAATTATTATATATAATGGAGTTTATTTAGGGATAATTTATTTACAAATCTGGAATATGACAAGAATGAACATGTATCTCTTAGAATATAAAGACTTAGTTTGAGAATATTTACATTATACGATCATGACATTACAATTGGTATTTTTATTTTTGTTCATGTTACAGACACAGCCATGATCTTTGGTGAGAACCATGTCATGACCTTTGATGGCAAGGTGTACAGTGTTCCCGCATACGCCAACGAACAGCAAACATACGTCCTGGCTCATGACTACGTAGATCGTAACTTCACACTCTTGGTCCAGAAGAAACGCATTACCCTTGTTGTCCGCAACATGAGCGTTGCAATTGATGACGAGAATGTTGTCCATATTAATGGATTGCCAACACTGCAGGAACTACCCTACCAGACACGAGTCAGCAAGGAATTGACCATTATGGCCAAGGGTCCATGGGTGAATGTGACATCAACCAAGGGCATAGCTCTCTCCTGCCAGTTGACCAGTTCTTATGCATCTTCCATCTGAGTGGCTGGTACCATGGAAAGTCTCGTGGACTCCTGGGCAACCTCGACACAGAGTATCACAACGACTTCATTCTGCCAGAGGGTGGTATTACAACTGATGTTGCAGAGTTCATTTCAGCATATGATGTCTCTCCAATTGACACGCCAAGAAACGTTATTCCATCTCGATTCGGATCCTGTCGATCAACCGTTGAGAAATGCAGAGAGATGTTCCTTGATGAAGACTCAACATTGAATGCCACCTTCCAGGATATCAACCAGGCTGAGTTCTACAACTTCTGTGTTGAGGAGACTAGGAAGTGCAACCCAATATGTGAAGTCATCAATCCTGTAACCATTCTTGGCAAGCATCTGCTCCGTACTGTCAGCTACGAACCTGAATGCTGTAATTCCATTGAACGGCAAAGATTTGACTTCCACATTTGTTTCATGGGCTCTGAAAAAGTTTGAAAA